TTAACTAATCAAGTGTAGATTTTGAGCCAATCTCGCCACGAATTTCTACAAAGTTAAAGTCCGTAATCAACTAAAATCATGATTATGTATTTGATTTTATTTTGTTTCTTGAAAAGTTGACTAAACCAAACTAACTTTTTATTTTTAATCTTTATCAGTGAAGATAGTATCTTCTCCAACCGAATGGCCGGCCTTCTCAGTGTATTTGGAAGACTTGAAGAGTGATAAGGAAAAATTCTCAAATTTTTCTTTATCTTTAATTCCGCGTAGCGCAAATGTAAAAGCGGATAATTTGGCACGAAAAATTCGTACTGAACTGCATCATATCACTTATGTAAACAACATTCCCCAGGAATGGCTCTTTTGAGCATCTATTTTATTTAAACTGTTGACAACAAAAAAAAAAAAAAAAAAAAGTTGACTAAACCAAAATGGACCCTCCTCATAGTCATAGATAATGTTAATGGCCGTCTTTTAAAACAAGACAATAGAAGTCGTTACCTCCATCTCCATCGCATTAGTAGCCAACACTCAACCCCCACTCAAATATATTTAGGAGCTTTAGGAAGAAAAAAATTGGCTTATTATTATAAAAATAGTTATTTTAAAAAAATTGGGCTTTTACAATTTTTATTTTTTTTATAAAAAACAATTATGCCTTTTAAAATATAATTTCTGATTAATGATAATTTTTTTAAAATGATTAAACATTTTTATATATAAATTTTGCAAAAAAAAACTTTGGACCGGGGCTGCCAACACTCTTCAAAAGACCAAACTAAAAATATTTATATACATCAACTATATTTAACCGTAGATAAAAAGGGGAAATTAATTTATATATAACGAGTATGCGTGTATATTTACACTATGTCTTACGCCAATAACAATGAGTCATCATAACCCTAAGTATTTGCTTTCCAGAGAAGTACCATTCTACGTCTCCACAAAAAGCATGGTTGGTCTAATACCATAATAAATTATTTCCAAATTGATAATTTCCTAACAACATGGCCATAATGCGATTTCAGATCCTATAGTAGAACAAAAGGTTTACAATTTGTAGATTATAAGTTTTCATATACGTTAGAAATGTTTTGCTTGTTATCAATAGGTTGTGCGATATAATCAAGTAAACATTCATTTGGTATTAGATAGAGCGCAAGAATTAATTCAAACAAATGGGGGAAAACGATTTTTTTAACGTCTAATGTAATGAATCTATATCTTAAAAAATGAAAATACATGTCAAAAGAACCATATAGATATATAATTTGATTTATCATCAATTATTTTGGATATGTATTATGTAACCTCTCACGTCTGTTGAACCTTCACATCATATATGTACGCACTAATTTGTATCGTTAAAATTATTGGAGATGATTATGAATGGTGTTTAAGTATTGCGTGACCGAACATTACTCTCACGCATTAATTACTTTGGTACGACAAATGAAAACACCATCCCACAATCGCAAAATAAAGAAGGTAGGCGAATCTCCATGGAATCTCCCAACTTTTGTGGCTCCCATTCGAATATTGAGGTTTTTTGTCACCTAAATAAAAGTTTCTATACCCACCAACTAGCTTAAACACCTTGTAAGACTTCGAACTTAATTAGAACATGTATAATTCGTCGCAAAAAGTATTTATCTTTTCCAACTATTCCCCAAAATAACTATAATAAAAAGTTATCTGTTTTGTATAATTAATATATACTATCGACCATATGTGATGCAATATCAATTTTGATTTTTAATTGGTTGAAATCAATTTGTACACAATATTGTTCGATACGAGTACTGAAAAATTAGCTAGTTTATTTGTCTTAATGTTGCTTTTTCTCCATCTTTTAGATACATATATACAGAGGTAGAAATACACTTGAACTAATGTATTTATTTGGAATTATCGAAAGGATAGGACCAAGTATGTACTTTCCTCCTATCAAAAAGTATGTAGTTCCATAACGACATGGCTCAGGCTCATCGTAATGTGAAACTATATAGGTCTTACCCTTTTAACTGAAAACATAATCCGTGATTTCACACATTTCAGACAAAATGATTAGTGGCAATCTAGTAAATCCACATACTAAGGATGGATAAAATTGTAACATGAAAACCCATCCCTAAGGCCTACATAAACCGCCAATCACTCCTCTAAAATCTTACAGGAGAAGAAGCAATTTCGGAAAATAGTGAAAATGGTAGGCCAAAGTCATCCGACGACGTTTCTATTCTTCACCACCTTTCTCTTCATATGCGGATCAATCTCAGCCGTCCGTTTGCCTCCACGACCAAACACTACAACAACCAACGATCTAGATTTCATCCGAACAAGCTGCAACGCTACTCTATATCCAGACGTCTGCTTCACGTCACTCGCCGGCTACGCCTCCGCCGTTCAAGACAGTCCGGCGAGGCTAGCCAAGCTCGCAATCGGCGTTTCACTATCGCAAGCCAAATCCACGGCGGCTTATCTCTCCAAACTCTCACGCTCCGCCGCCGTAACCTCTGCGGCTAGATACTCCGGCGATGGCCACCAAACTGCTTCCGCCGTAATCCGTGACTGCGTTTCCAACGTTGAAGATGCAGTGGACGAGATGAGAGGATCTCTCCGACAACTACGCGACATGAACGGCAGAGGTAGCGTCCCTGCGGCTCGCAGGTCGGTGGAAACGTTTAGGTTTCAGATGAGTAACGTGCAGACGTGGATGAGTGCAGCATTGACGGATGAGGACACGTGTACGGATGGATTTGAAGATATGGACGAAGGAGGATTGATTAAGACGACTGTTTGTGATAGGCTCGAGGAAGTGAAGAGGTTAACGAGTAATGCTCTTGCCCTTGTTAACACTTATGCCAACAATGGAGCTCCATGATCATAAGACCATGAGGAGTTTTAACTTTGATTTTAAGTGTTTCTTTTGATAATTTAATACATTATGGGTTCTAAGTTATAAGTAATAGTTTGTGTGGGAGGAAACTGAAAGTTAAGGGCAAGCTTCTAAAAGGTACTAGGGGTTTATGCTTGGTCATCTCTGTTATGTTGATATGATTACGATTTCGTGATGTTTTAAATTTGGTTCTTGCTTTAATCCGAGTTTAACGGGTTCAGAGAGATGTTTATCTTTAATATATATGATTTACTAATTAAACTGCATGATGATATATAAATATATTATATAATTGTAAGAATATGTATGTATGAATATAGTAGATATATAGATCACAAATTCACAATCACATGGAGTAGTTATAAGTTTTGTTGTGTTTTTTTCTTCTCTCGACCCGTGAAATGAGTAGGACTTGTGTTCATACTCATTTCATACACACTTTTGTGTGTGTCTATAAATTTTTGTTAATGGTCCCACTCAAGTCCTTCCTAACAACAACAAAAAAAACATCTGTCTTTTACTCACGAGATTGCACTGTGTCCAAACTGATCACACTGGTTTTGTTCACTACATGCCGGTTTTCGTGTACATATGAAAAGGTGTTACTACTGGTTATCAAAAAAGATATTTAGATCGTTGGAACTTGGAAAGCTTTATTATATATTCTTCTTTGGAATATTATCAAGATTTCAAGGTTTGTTTGTTAATTGATTTTACATACGTACTGTTGTAGATCTGACTATTATTTAATTGTTTATATAGATAGAACTAGAAGTGAGAATTTTGTATGTTAAAGATTGTTTCTTCTATAATCGTATGTTCGTTTGTCTTTTCATTCTCTTTTTTTATTATGCTAAGTTATGTTACTGTTAAAATACTAGTATAGATATGTTGCAACTTTGATATGTATATAAAACTCACAACTCTTACATTTTGATCCGAAAATTTAAATTATCTATATATATATACAAAAAAAATTATAGTAGTATGTGCTAGTTTTTTAAGCTTTCGTTAACAGGTATGTACCATTTTGAGCACGGATTTTGCAGTTTCGGATATATGATTAGTCTCAATATAATTAGTAACTTTGCTAGCTAGAACATTTAATTTGTTCGTTGGTTTTTCAAGATGTACGAATTAATATGTTCACATGTTCAGGAGAATGGTAACATCAAATTGGGCTCGGATACTCTTCGTCGATTGAGCTCGGCTACTCTCAGAGAAGCGGCTCGGGCTACTTGTGAGGTCGGCTCGGGGTGGAAGGAAAGCTCAGCTCGGGCATGGTGACATATAGGTTCCCGAGCTGTCGTGGCAAACGTCCCCGAGCCGGTATAAGGTGACCCGAGTCATATCAATCGACATTCTCCGAGCCAGTTCAATGATTGATTCCGAGCTGTTTCGGCAGTGTTCCCCGAGCCGGTTTTGATGATACGGCCCGAGGTATTATTTCCTAGCTCGGACTCAGTGTGGGTGGAATCCGACCCTAACAGTCGTATGGTTTTTAACATGAAATGGTAAAAAGCTATGGTCCCTCACACGAATTGAAAACTAAAACAGTAACCAAACAAGCAATTAGCAAAAAGCCAAAAAGACGTTGCCCAAGTGTTTTTAATTTCCTTTTAACGGTAATTCCTTAGGCCCATTATCGGTCCAAGAAATTGAATTTAGGCCCTCTTCTCTTCAAAGTTTAAACCAAAACACAACCTTTTTCAATCAAAACTGTGAAAGGTTACCAATACCACAATCCAACCATGTGTATTCTCTCATTCATTAATCCAACTGGGGGACCAACTACGTTTCCAAACTTTTGCTATCATTTGAAACCTCTACCTCCCGCCTGAACTACAACACCTCAAAAGTCAAAACTTGTCAATTCTGTTTGTCTAATTTTGAAATCATGTTACCAAATTCTCCAACATTCATTGAACTTCTTATAACAGACGTTAATAATTTTTTACTGTTTCGCCACCAATTCTAATTGTTGCTACTGTTTTACTAAAAAGCCAATTTTCTTGAATCACTCTTATTAACGTATCAAAACGAATATTTTCACCAACCGTTACTTTATAAAAGGGTTTTTTTTTTTTTTGAAACAAACTTTATAAAAGGGTTATGACCCGAAATTTACATCACACACCAAATGCAAAGTCGAATTACATTCTCTAATCAACCACCTAAACAATAACGAACACACACAATTAAATTTAAAACTACACGATTAAAACGAAATTAGGAAAATACTAAATTTTATTTTTTTAAAAAACTATCTTTCTATCGAAGGAGCATTTGCATTTTACTCTAACAACCAACAGGCACCATAGCTGGTTTCACTTTCGGTGGCCTTCCACGACCTCTACGCTCACCTTCAGGCTTAGCCGTCGGTGCATCCGTCGCATTAACCGTCTCTGATTCCGTCTTCTGCTTCTTCGGTGGTCGTCCACGTGGCCTTCCCGAAACACTCGGTACTTTTTCTTTTGGCTCCGACGGAGCCTCCTTAGACTTTGGAGGACGACCTCGAGGCCTCGACGGAGAAGCTGACGGAGCTGGAACCGTCGCCACGTGGCTTGAACCGGCTTCTGGTTTAGGTTTCGGAGGACGGCCACGGCCACGTTTAGGAGGACCATTAGGATCTGGTTTCATGTAATTGTTTTTGAAAACCATGAGCTGACCTGATTGTTTCATTTGATTGAGATGGTAACTGAGAAGCGTCATGTGAGATGGAGGTAGAGTGATCTTGGTTGATTCGATGTGTTTTGCAATCGCCGTTTTGTTGCATCCGTAAGGGTCGGTGGATGCTTCGATCGCTTCCATAATCATCTGAAATCCACAGAGGTAAACAAACAATTTCTCAGATCCAAAGAAATCGAATCACCATAAATAGCGTTTCAAAATCTAATCTAATATAATATACCTTAGGGTACGGAGGGAGAGAGAATGGAAAATTCTGCGCCGCCGTTGGATCTAGTTGAGGATCGCTCTCCGGCGTCGTCATGTCAAACTTGAATTCGCAGAGAGAGAGTACTGTTGCTGCGCTGAAGCTAAGAAACTGTGTGGGGATTTTAAAAGGGAAATAAAATTAGGTTTTCTTTATGATTTAAATAAAAAATGTTTTTGTTGATCGGACGGCTGGGGTATCGGAATTCGAGAGATGATCTGACGGTTATCGGACTATCAGAATACTATGTTGCAGGATCGCTGACGTGGATGAAGATGATAACTCATTAACTTCTGTGAATTTACGTTATTATCCCTGATTTTGAACTTTTATCATCATATCAAAGGTGAATAAAGAATCAATTGGGCCAATAATTCGATGAATTCGGCGTGTTATATGTCAACGCGTGTTGAAATATCAATGGGTGCAATAGGACGATAGAAATGAGAACCTAAGACGAGACACGTCATATCGGCCCATTAGAACTAAACATTTTTAGCTAGCTCTCAAAATAACACATGAACGTAATAATTTTAAGAATGTTCTTTTGGGGATTTAACTCATATATGCATTATATATAATCTTTCTACAAGCAATAACAAAAGAGATCATCAAACAAATCATCATGTGGTTCTATTACTCACAAATAAAAACCATTTCCCTCTTTCTCTTTCCCTCCACCAAAACCAATGAAGATGATACAAACGTGAATAGACAACATGATCAAATGAGGCCAGTGCTGCGGAACGGGTTGTTATGTTGGTTTACCGCAAAATCACCATAACCCGTGGTATTTGGCTGCTGTGATACCGGGTTCACCGGGAATTCCCCAAAATCACCAAATGGGTTACTATTATTGGTAGGAGGGTTGGACTGATGCTGATATGTCGGCTGGTAAGCACCGAAGGGGTTGTTGACCGCTGGCTGCTGAGGTGGGGGAGTTGTACCATTGGACGACGCAAAAGGGTCATGGGACGCAAATGGATTGGGAGCTGGTGCACCGTACACAGGGCGTTGGGAAGCTATGTAGGCTCCATCATCGTATAGACTGCTAAGTGTAAGCGTATCTAACCCTCCAGCCTAAACATTTTTGATTTTGATGCACAAAAACAATGGTTTTTCAAGATTAGCTTACAGCCTTACACACTATCCTCTTATATAAGCACCTAGACCAACAATGAACTTCCTATTCTCACGGTTCCACTTCCAACGTCCATAGCTAGATTAATAGCAAGGTTCCTAGTCTCAAGGTTGGCAAATTTCGGTAAAACAATGCTTGTGATGACTCTTTTATTATGAACTAACTAATTTTCTATTAACAAGGTTCATAGTATCAGTGATTTAAAGATTCAACATCTAAAGTCCCAACTTTCCAGCCAAATTTTTAGCCGGTAACTACTAACTGGCGTTGATTTCTGTGATCTACTGTTTTTAAACCTATGGCATTAATTTTAACAAAGAGAATAATGCTTACCAATTTCCTCTCGGTGGCTGCAGAGATATCGCTGCTAGGTGCTGTCACCAAGGCAAGCTCCCATCCTGTAGGATCGTAATCATTTGCTTGACCAAAACGAGGCGTTGAAGGATTAGCTGGAATAGAGAGATCAGAAATGAGTCAGCAAAAGGAAATAAAAAATAAAGTAAGAAATCCTCGAGACTGGCAGAATATTAGTAGACATGTAAATGGTCCAACAAGAAGCTCACCATCAGTTGAAATAATGGCTAAAGCAAGTGCATTTTGGTCTTCGATAACTGATGCATCAGGAGCACTAGTGTTCAGACCCTGTGGGGAAAATTGAACAAGTAGAACTTGAGACATAAGAATCGCAGTAAGAAACAAAATTGAAATCAAAATCATAAAGTGATCATAATAGAATTTTCACCAGTAAATCATCGTTGTCAATGAAGGTCTGAGCGTTGGCTGAAGAAGGAGGCGGGGGAGAAGGTTCTGTTTCTTCAGGTACAACGACATCATCTGAAGGTAACATTTCACGTTCTTCAAGCGACGGTTCAGTATCTTCGGCAGTCAGTCCATCATCCGGCCTATATGTTAGAAGCTGAATGTAGACAACTTCATTAGCAAATAAGACACAGAAAAAAGGCCAAAAGACCAAAAACATTGGATCACTAATATGAGAAAATATGCATACATACCAGTGGTTCCGCTGGGACATCGACAACCCGCGGTGCTTCTTTAATATACTCCTCCATTGTTGTCAGAAAAGATTGTGGAGGCTGAAGTAAACAAATGTAAAGTAATGTTTTAAGTGACAGAAACAAGCAATGGTTGCCAATTAAATTTATCATAAGTTGTCCTCAGTTAGTACCTCTCTTAGAACAGGAAATTGAAAATTCCTTGCAAGTTCCAATCCTTTGCAGGCTTCATAGAAATCAGAAAGGCTACGAGCCTGAAAAACACATTATCCCTTGTTACACACAAAATGTGCGACAAGTAAAATATATACCAACTGAAACAGTCCAACAAAATCACCTGCTGACCCGCACGCTTGTATATCTCAAGGGAAGTGATGGCTTCATGTTTTGCCATTTCAAAGAACTGCAATATATGAAAAATTAAGTATGGAAAAAGGAAAGCAGATAGAGAGATATGATAGCTATGATGGCAAAAAGACAAACTAGACCTACCTTGTCAATGAGATTGATGATTCCATCATTGATAGCACAATAGACTTTAAAACTCTCTTTCAACACCTATCATACGATGACAAAGAATTTAAGAAATTTTCGAGCTTCGCTTTTGTAGAGCAAGACACCAACAACTGTGTCCAGTTGTGGAAATGTTAATCCTAGGACAAGGGATAATTTGTTCCGTACCAGAGCAAGTGCATATTGTATAACATGATTGTGGTTAGCAGCACCTTCTGGCTGAAAAAAGCAAAGGGGCAAGACAGTTCATTGATCAGCAAGTGCAGCCACAACACAATGTCACAAACTATCAACAACAGAAACTAATAACATCAGAAAAAGTACCCTGCAACCGATGAGACGATAGAGAAGCTGCTGCAAAGCTGGCAACTGCTCCAAGAGTTCTTCACCATCTAAATCCCTGGTTCTACTATACCCCTGGCCATCCGCAATATGCAAAACCGAAACAATCAGAAAAGAAAAGGAGGTATGAACACCAAAAAAAAAGAGTAAACCAACATTTGATACCTTATCCTGCCCTGGGGTAGACTTGGGAAGACGTTCTGCCTCAGTATCATATTTTAAAACCCTGAAGCATTCAAGCCGTTCTTCGAGAAATAGTGCATAAGTACGTACCCAAGCTGAACAATCCCAGGCTGTAAGAGAAACATAAAAGCATACAGTGAACGTTAACTCTCTATACACACATGAAGCAGAAACACTAAATAGACTTACCAATAGGGCTTGAATCATCCTTAAAATTAGAAAGCTGCAAAATTCGCCCTCTCTGCGAGAAATTCAATAGTTCCTCTCTGAAAGTTGGATCTCCTTCCCTTAGAAGCCGATGAATAACAATTAGTGTCTTCAAAGCAACCTGTTGAAGAAACACAAGAGAAAAATAGACTTCAAAAACTATCAAAATGCTTTACTCAAACACACAATTTCAAGCATTAAAGATCATGTCATCAAGAACACAAAAGAGAGTAATCAATCAGTACCGTCCAATTCCTGGTTTTATGCAAGCGCCGGGAAAGAGCGTGAATACAATAAGCAACATCTGCTCGAGCACGAGTCACTGATGTTGCAGCGAAGATTTCTGCAACAATAGAAGAAACCAATTCATTCAGAGAAGAAGAAAATCAGATCTAAGAAATCCCGAGAAAGTGAATCACTCACTTCTGAGATGGCGATCTTTGGGAGGACACTCAACATGATTGGTAGCTTTGACTATGGCGACATCTAAATCCTAAAAATTACAATGAAAATTCCAGAAATTAAAAACCGAATCTATCGGAGATTTTCTTTTCTTCAGATTAAAGAAATAGACAAAAGAAAATCGATGGAAAGAGCGTACGGCGTATTCGCTGTTGACACGGACAAGGCCGACTTTGGTGGAGTCTTTTAGGGCTCCGTAAGCTTTTCTCCATGACTGAAGCGTTCCCATCGGAAAAAAACTACAATAGGAGAGACTCCTTCTTCAGATCTCTCTACGAAACCGGAGATGACGTGTCTCAATCTCGAATCTTCTTTAGATTATTTTCCCGAGAAAAGCTCCGGGAAAATTCACGGGAAAATTCACAGAGAGACTATCGAGAAAGAGAGAAGAAAAGTGAAGACGCCAAAAAAAAAAAAAGAGGACGCGTTCCGTTTCTTTTTAATTTTGTCCTATTTTTTTAATTTAAAGTCAATTTGTTCAGATTAAATAAATAAAATGAGTCAAATTATATGAAAAAAATAGCCAATTTTGAATTTTCTTAATGCTTAGTTTTATTATCTGTCCGTTAATAAGATTAATTGAATTTTCTTTATTGACTACACGAAATAAAATTGACAAAAAAAAAAAGACAGGATTTAAATAATTGATCAAAGAGAAATCGGTCTCATAATAATGTTTATTTGCTTAATGGGATTCATAATTAAAGGGTCACGCAAAAGCATAAATACTGGAAAATCTGACAGTACTAATTAGAATCGAATCTGCTCCTCTGGATTATCATCTGTTGTTGAGCACTTTTTTTCTATAATAAAATCACAAAGCCATGTATATATTTAGTTATTTCAATAATGTAGTACTAGTCTAGAGATGCTCTTATACTATACTAAATTGATGACGATTATTTCTTCTACTATTTATTAAGAATTCAAAATAACTTTTGAAATGCGGTGGATAATACAGATGTTGAGAGTGAGCATTGTTGGCCACCTACCACTAACTACGTAAATTGGCCAGCTTCGTATTCTAATTCAACGTCCAATTAGTAGAGAGACTTTCTTTCCTTTTTTCACAGCAACATACTGATTTTTATATAGGTATTGATTGAGTTTTTTGCTGCTATACAAAACTTATTTTAAATATAGAGTTTCGATTCATTTATAACATGTAAAACGATGATGAAGTGGGGGAACATAAACAAATTGACATGCCATTTTGTCAAAACTTTCTATTTATAGCTGCAAGATTGTGCATACACCACCATTATAACCAAAGATTAGTACGTAAAGAAATTCATCGAAATCGCGTAAATGGGTTAATACTACAGATGCATTTATCAAGCTATCTATCATAAGATCACTAGAAGTAGAAGTAACGAGACATGGTATAGTATATATATAATTAAGTGTGTTGTGGTAGAATCACATGATCAAGTCATCAAGTAATGGGAGGCTAAAAGGGAGTTTGATAACTCCACAAGCTATGAGCAGAGACATAATCCATATGGGAAGAATCCATTGAAGTGTAAACATCAAAACTGGTTTCCCTGCAACATCAATGAATCATCCCATTAAGCCAACGCAGTTATGGAATTTAGATGTGATGACTAGCATGAGATTATAATCACTAAACTAACCAGAAGAACGAAGCTTAGGCTCTGTTCGAGCTACGAAGATTTCGCCAATCTCTCGTAGCTTCTTCTCCAGCTTACTTTCGAATTTATTAGCATGGCCTAATAGAAGCTCATCGAATACCGTATTCATATCCATTTCCCTTTCATGGGGCAAAAAAAAAAAAAAAAAATTTCAAAACCGCCCAATTACAATTATATAAGTACACATTTTGCAATGGTAATTAGTGTCTTTACCCTTCGGAATCACGATATGATCCAGCGCCAAATGCTCGCTCGATCTGAGCTATCGAAGGCTTGTTGCCTCGTCGCTGCTTCCGTAATTGCTGCTTTTGATTTCCCATTTGTTTGCTCACTTTGCTTAGGTTTGCCGGTTTCTTCGACGGAGAAGGAAGTGGAGACGGTGAGTCATTAGTTAGAGACGCCATAAGAGGCGTTGAAGCTCTGGTGATGGAGAAGATGGTGGATAAGACCGCCATTGCCTCCTCCTTCTCTTGTGTGGTTTGAAACTTTTACTTAAGAAGTTTCTATATTTCATCCTCTTGAATTATCCAGCCAATGAAAACTTCAGAACATGCCACGTCAGCCAAGACAAGCTTGAGTTTTGTTTCTTTCTATTCTTGGTTGTTTAATCTTGTGATTAATATATTAATGTCTTTTCAAATACGCAACACCGTTTTAAGTTAACGTGTAAATTTGATATTGTGTTGTTTTACATGTGAATAGAATTCAAAGTTTTGGTTACTAGAAGAAACCATTTTCTTTCATAACAAAAGGAGAAAAGTGTGTTTACCTTCCAAGACTTGAAAAAGATTTAATTATCATTTAACATAGAGCTATCGTTTTCCATTGGCTAATCGTTCTAAACCAAACACCACCCACTCTTAAACAACATTACCAAATCAATTCAAAAGGAAATCATAAGAACACAACAGAAGATTATGATCCACCACCATTAATAGAAGCTTTAAGCTATAAAAAAAATAGAGATTCATTGGTAATGGCAGATTCCGACATAGAGACGAGCAGCAACCACAATAGCAACAGCAACACCAGCCGTTCAACCGCATCGACCACGAGTGTTCATGTTACGGCTCTCGATGGGATTGTAAGTGCTAATTCTCTCTTCACGGTTGCAGTCTTTGTCGGAATCTCCTTCGACCAGCCACGTGACCTCAGCCTCACGGACAGATCCGAGTGCAATGCTGGACGAGACGTGGAACGGGACCTCGTTGTGTTTGAAGTCATCTCATTTGCCTTCTTCCTCTTCTCCTCCCTAGTGGCTCAAGGGATAAAGCTATCCATCAACCTTTTGAACAGCAAAGAAACGGACGAAGTGTTTAAAGCAAATATCAATAGTGATGTGCTTCGTTTCGGTGTGCTTGGTGCAGCTGGTGGATGTATCTTGGGCTGTGTGTTTCTTTTGTTGTCAATTGTTGATGTTATCCAACTCCGTCTCGGGCTTCTCTCCTGCGGCAATGCTTTGACGATTCATACCGTGCTAGCGCTTGTGGTCTTGGTCTCTTCTGCTCTCAGTGTTTACATCTTCACTGTGTTTTACTCTTTCAGGAAATGATTGATCTTTAAAAACCTGATAGTTATAGAGTAACAATTAGTTGTGAACTCAGCAATATAAATATATAATACATATGTATCATGGATAATGTTTAATAAAGCAACATATATGAATCAGTTGAAAAAATAGTTTCTATTAATCTCGGTCATTCCCTTGCAAAACCAATAAGCCAGCGTTTCCCCAACAATGAAATAAGGAAAGTCCTAGAATATTGAGGTCATCACTAGAGACTAAAAGATCAGACGAAGGTATCAGCCAGAATAAAAGCTTGAAGTTGCAAACGAAGAGCTTCACGAAATCACCCAGAAACAGTCATGAATATTGCAAAAAGTAAGTTCTTAAATAGTTCATTTGATCATTAGAACATGATAACTATAAGGCTATAAGCTAACAGCTTCTTGCTCATAGTCAGTGGAACTGATCAAAACTCTGAGGTCCAAGCAACTATAGCCAATTCTATCAAATAAGACAAGCCAATAACTGCATACTATTAAAGTAAGTATGTGTATAAATACTTGTAAACTTGATCAAATTGTTTAATATCAAATTGTTTTTAAGGGTTTAAGAGAAAGAAACACAAACACAATGATTCATACAGAATTTTACAAGACCTCAACAACAGTATCAAGTGTTTCAAAGGGAACCAACTTGCCAGTTCTCGAAACAGAGCCGGAAGATTCAAAACCTAAACTATTTACAAGCATCAGCTAAGTGCTTTTGTTCCACAGTCTTGCTAACCTCAAGGAGATGGCATTTCGAAATAGGAATTTTCAGCTAATTGTACCCTAACTCCAAAAATCCTATGATCCAACGTCCTCTAGCGATAACCAAAGCACATTGAGAGATTCAATATAGAGTACCTGGGGCTAGAAATCGCGATGAGATTCAACGACTTCGCTTACTCGATCTAGACTCTCAAGGCTAAAGACGCCATTGTCATCGACTGGAAGCGCTCTCTCTCTGTCTTTGTCTTTGGGTTGGGCTTCCGTTCCAGTGCTGTGGTTGGTTGAATCTAAATGACATTATTGCCCTTACTTACCCATTTGATGACAAACACGACGACGTTTTTTGGGTTGTGCTTCTTACTGATGTTACTGGTGGATAAATTAAACGACGTCGGTACTTGTTACATCAGGTTGTCACAAGACTTTTGCACTGACATTTCCAATCCACATTAGTACATTACGATTACGTATATGATTAGGTATCATGATTTTGTTGTCAATTGTTAATGACTTGGAATCATGAAATATTGGTCTATATGTGGTAAAATCCAAGCGATTGTTTTTTTTTTAAAATTTTTAAATACGTACGTTACCAAAACAAGAAGCTACTTATCAATCATGTTTGACTTTCTTTCGTGCATAAATGAATTTACTACTGTATAAAATTATTAGTAGGGTATAAATATAATGGTTTCATCCCTTTGACGCCAAACATTAATAAATTATTTTTTCAATATAAAAATGGCCTTTAGGTGTTTTTACCATATGAAGTTTTAACTAATCGATGTTAGTATGTGTACTTTCAAAGATTAAGAACATATATATATATACACATATATAAGACAAGTGGATAAGATATTGGTCTGGAACAAATCTCTACAATAATTATTTGAGAAGTAGAAACGCACCACATTCAAAGTTAGGGCATTGGAGGCCTGTGGTTAAAAGTTGGAATGATTTGTCCTAAACACCCTTAATGAATTGTTCTTCTCGAAATTTCTTCTTCTTCGTAATTAGGGGTATATAAGTCTAATCGTGTGTTGATCTCTATAATAATGTCTCAAACACCCTCAATTTCGAAATTTTTTGTTCTTAATTGTTAAGGGTATATAAGTCTAATCGTGTTTTGAGATGATTAGTCTTAATCACCCTTAAATTTTTTTATTTTATAGTGTAATCGTTGGGGATACGGATGTCATAATGTCTCGACTTTAATGATTATGGAATCTTAACTTAAATTTATTTGTTAATTTTTTAGATAATTCTATATCTTAGTAGTTAATATTCGTTTTTGTTAGTTTTCTGATTTTGTTTCTAATTAAAAAGTTAAATTTCTTAAGATAATAATTGATGTTTGCCCTAATCTTAAAGCTATATATATTGTTGATCGGCCAGAGAATTAGGTATTATTTTCTCTGTGCCCATTAGATAGTTTTCACCATTATGGTTTTTTTATACAGCTACGATTTTGATAAATCAAATTGTTTGTCATGCATATATTGTTTTCATTTACCTTTAGAGGTCGTGTGCATATTGTTTGCTGTTTGTTTTATTTTTTACATTAGTTTGTTAATTTATTGTTTTGCTGATTTGATTCTTTTGGTATGTGTTTCAGTTTTGTAGAGCGTGGGAGGTTCTATCGACAAAGCTTTTGGACGAAAGTGGTGTTGATGATAACAGAACGAGGTTTGGAAAGGTATTTTTACATCTATTTACCTATTTAAATGTTTGTGTTTCTTTCTGTTATGTACAGAGTTTGGATTATGATCACGCGTGGATCGTTAATAATTTATGATCAATTGTGCTGACTGAGAGAAACTAAGATTTTTTTTTTTGGTTCTCACCGTTTTTCTAAGTTCGCTTTGAGAATTTATTATATATTTATTTTGTATGAATAATTTTATTGGAAAAAATGATGTTTAGGGATAGTGTACACGTACTCGACGGGGGTGAATTACACCTAAGCTTAGATGTCTTCAAAAGGCCATCACTCACAACAACATCCTCTTCACCTCAATGGCTTCACGTAAGTGGATTCAAAATAATTTCTCTATATAATATATCAAGTTAAGTGAATGAACATATATAATGTAATGTTGTTGAAAATTGTGGTTGCAAGATATGTTGTGTTCGGGACTAAGAAGCATGGGAACGGGAAGATTGATGAGCTAGAGAGGCATATTGAGTCTTTGATATGGGAAACTGTTAAGGAAAGAGAAAGGGAATGTGTGGGATTAGATGAGTACGAGAAGGTAATCTCTAATCTAACTATATATATTTGTATTTTATTATGAATTATTTATATGATTTTCTTTTTGTTTTTTTGAAACTAACATTAATTAATTTACTTTCTAAAATATACTGGGTCTCTTTTGAAGCTCGAAAAAAACAGAGTTCTCTAAAACGAGATTGGTCGAGATTGCATAGGTATGTCTATCGTGATGAAATTGTTAAATAGATATTGGGCTTTTAAGCAATTCAATCGCTTTAAAAAAATTTTGTAATCGTGAGAGAAAACTTTAGGGTTTGATTGTTTCAATTTTGATTTAGAATACGGAATTTTCGTTTTCTTTTTCTTTTTTTTTAAATAGTAAGGTAAATTCTAAATATATTACGGATATTTTTATCAAGAAAATTTCTAATTTTTAAAAATTAAAATTTAAGAAATAATTATGACGGTTTGCCCTAGATATTAAGGTATAAATATAGAGCTTCGGCCACACCATTAAAACTCATATTCGTTAACCTAAACATATAGTTTTGATAATATATATATTTTGTATTGTTTTGGTTCTAATGAATCGAATTTACTATGGAATGATTATGATTGTTTTCTTCATGTTGAGATGACACTGATTTCATGATTTAATTTTTTATAGATTCTGATTTCTTCAAATTGAAATATTAATTATTTTTACGTTTGTTTGCAGGTTGGATGTGTGGAAAGAACACATCGATGTTGAAAACGTTGGAATGCAAGCTAACACAGCCAAGATATTGGTCATGCAAAGATCTCTTATGATTCTGTGACTAAGAATTTAAGTGTGACTTGGGCTTATGAGCTAATTAACAACCTCTGATCCTAAGGAGAGTTCAAGCCTTTCTTACATCATCGACCTCGCAAACCATCAGAAGTAATGTTCGGGTTTATAGCTGCTGCTGGAAGAAACACAGAGGAACATAGACTTTTATCATGGGAGCTCAGTTCAACTTTGGATATCGAGAAAGCCGATAGCAAGATAGGATTGGTCGTTGGCATTTCGGTTTCCGGGTTTGTTTTACTGATAGTTTTGGTCCACACGATCGTGGTGGTTTGGTCACGGAAGCAAAGAAAAAAGAAAGACAGAGATATAGCAAACATGATATCGATAAACGAAGATCTTGAAAGGGAAGCAGGACCAAGAAAGTTTTCTTATAAAGATCTTGTGTGAGCAACCAACAGATTCTCAAGCCATAGAGAGCTAGGTGAAGGAGGATTTGGAGCGGTTTATGAAGGAAATTTGAAAGAAATCAATACAATGGTTGCGGTGAAGAAATTATCCGGTGATTCAAGGCAGCGAAAGAAAGAGTTTTAAATGAAGTTAAGATCATCAGCAAACTGAGACATCGAAACATGGTGCAACTCATTGGTTGGTGTAATGAAAAAAACGAGTTCTTGCTGATATATGAGTTAGTGCTAAATGGTAGCTTGAACTCCCACCTCTTTGGCAAAAGACCCCATTTACTTTCTTGGGACATAAGGTACAAGATAGCTCTTGGTTTAGCCTCTGCTCTGCTTTATCTTCATGAAGAATGGGATCAATGTGTACTGCACAGAGACATCAAAGCAAGCAATATAATGCTTGACAGTGATTTCAATGTAAAGTTAGGTGATTTCGGTTTGGCTCGGGTTATGAACCATGAACATGGTTCCCATACAACAGGATTGGCTGGAACTTTTGGGTACATGGCACATGAATATGTAACGAAAGGAAGTGCGAGTAAAGAGTCTGATATATATAGCTTTGGAATTGTTTTACTAGAGATTGTCACAGGGAGAAAATCGCTGGAACGAACGCAAGAAGATAACAGTGATTCAGAGAGTAATGAGAAGAGTCTTGTGGAGAAAGTTTGGAAACTTTATGGAAAACAAGAAGTGATGACTTCGTCTGTTGATGAGAAATAGGGTAATGAATTCGATAATAAAGAAGCTGAGTGTCTTCTGGTTTTAGGGTTGTGGTGTGCTCATCCTGATAAAAAAGCTCGAGACCTTCGATAAAACAAGCGATACAAGTCTTGAATTTTGAGTTACCATTACCTGATCTTCCATTGAAGAGGGATGTTGCTATGTATTACATCTCAATAACTACGACTTCTTCTTCTTCTCCCTAGCTCAACTCTGCTCTGTTTTTTTTTTCATCT